TCCATTTTTGGAGTTAGAGAAGGATCTACAAGGCCAATAAAAAGTTGTGGGACTAGGTGTCTTGCACTATATATACTGAATCATCGCGTATTTTATGCAGTAATTCAAAGAAGGCAGATGACGACATAAAATTATGGAGAGAGGCATTGGACGGTGCGAGTTCTATCAGTGAATTGTGTAGACCGGTCGGTAACCAATTCGGAATTGTGGAATTCAGATCGCTGGTTCTGTTATATATTTAAATATTCTTGTGAAAGATCTGGCTGGTATACCTTGATATTTCCACGTTGACCATGCTGAAATCCCATTAACTCGACATAAATTGCACACTAAATCCCTCATTCGTTTATTATTGATCTTAAGAAATATTATGATTGTGAATAAAAGCTTACTAATACAGGCGTTAGAACAAGCTAGTGCTCATCCACCTCGAAATGTTCATCCAAGCACCACTGTTTCATCAACACCACATAAATAAATATTAAGGTAATATTGAAAAACGTTATATATTTTTATTATGTAATTTATTTTTTTCTATATCAATAAACTGACCCAGGTGGTCGAGACTTTCATACATATATTTAGTGTAAGCATAAAGTACCGAAAAAAAGCGTAATTATTATTACGCATATCTGACAATTTCCCACTACATGTTGAGAATATCCAAATCAAAATTGTTTACCTCTAAATACCTGCATAGTTCTACATAATCAAAAATTGCTTTTGTATCTTGCGTATTCTTATTTATGATAGTAATGTGATCTTCATCTTTTCTTTGCATATACTTATCCCGGTTTAAAAATTGCATATACTGTTTAGGATTATCGGTGAATTTACATAGAGTCTTTCGTCTGTTATTTCTAGATTTGCCAGACATATTAATATCTTATGTATAATGACGTATTATATCAAGTATTGAGACACATTCATTTTTTTTTCTTGCCAAAGTGATTGGTGTGAACAATTGTTCATGTGCATGTGATTTTGAAAATAAAGCATGGGCATCCACATAATTCTGATCGAGACAAATGGTTACATAGAACCTTGCTTTATTGTATAGTGCAAGACACCTAGTCCCACAACTTTTCATTGTCCTTGTAGATCCTTCTCTAACTCCAAAAATGGAAATGTA